AATGACGCCCCTTTAAAGCGTTGTTATCTGTGTGACCGCGAACGTAAAACCACTGATGATGTGAAAATATGGTTTTAACAAGTCAATAATGGTGAGTGCAACAAAGAACAGCCTAATCAATGAGGCTGCAACGTTTGCAAACAAGGACTTGAATTATAACGCCAATAATTGATCTCTTCCATTTTTTCCTCTCTCCTTCGTCTGATGTCATTGTTTATTGATTTCTTCCTGCCAGTGAGGGATGATGGGAAGTTTCAGTTTGTTTTTGTGATGACTTTTGCACCCCCCCTCTCCTTCCCCACCTTTCCCTCCTTTCTCTCCCCTCAGCCCCCTCCCCTTCTCCATTTGAAATTTGCAAGCTGTAGCACCAGCTTAACCAAAAAGGATTAAGTCCCATACCCAACTGAGAACACAGATAATGCTCAGTAATTGGTAAAAAATGAAGATGAATGGGACAGCTAGATAAGGACCAATTAGCTGCTGGGAGTGTACAGCTGTGGTCTCCTCACAGAGCGCTCTCAGGGGCCAAGGCCCCCTCTTTCTCTCTCACGCGAGCATGCACACACGCACAAACACTAACACACATACACACACAGAGGCGTGCACACGCAAACATACAAGCATGAGGGCGGGGCTTGCAGAAATTAGCCTGATGACCCTGGGAAGACAGAATGATGCTTCCTCATCATCTCACCCAGAAACTCTTCTCTCAACTCTCAGTCAGGCAACACTCCAGGTACCTGTCACCATTCGTCCAGCTTCAGCCTAGCATGTGGCTCTCCACTCCCTGTTGGGCGCAGGCAGCCTGGACCGAAGCCACAGATGTGAGACAAAGGGCTTTCAGGTTTTGAAGCTGCGCTGTAGAATGTAACTGCTTATACAGCTTAGCTGTGGTGTTACAAGTTTAGGATTGATTCAAAATGTACAGTAAAATCTGAAGGTTAGCAGTGAATTTTGTGTGTTCTCTTTTCACCGTGGCGCAGTCAGTCAGCTACTTTTTTGGTCGGCATGTTGTGGCATCATCTGGCTGATGAGAGTGGAATTCCCATATCTAATTACAAACAGGATTTCGGCTCCATTAGAGTTGTGTGGTGAGGAGTCAGATGAGTGGCAGGGCAGCACCCAGTGGCCAAACAGAGACACAGGGCGAAAGACATAGAAGTAAATGAGACAAGAGTAAAAAAAAAGGAGAGAGAGCAGAGGACATCGGTGAACGCCGCCTTATCTTTTCTTACCACTCGTTTTCTGCCGGTCTAAGAAACACTTTATTTTCCTTCCGCGGGTGAAAAAAGCAATTCCTTCTCTTGAAATTGGCAGGTGTTTGTTAGTGGGCAGCTGACAATATTTTCTCTCCCAGTAATGAAGGTTGTGGCTGGGGTCAATGCACTGGGAGGGAATGGCGGGCTGTTTATCCCCCTCAAGGCCCAGCGCCACACGTGTTTTGCTTGGTCTGTGATCTGTAATTGTGGCATTTCCTGAGAGGCGCAGGAACAATCCACATTGTGCTTTGAGAGGGCTCCCTCTGCCCAAATAAAGAGTGCGAGAGAAAATCAAAGACATCCCCACACACCTCTCACTCTGTCTCTCTTTACATTCTCATGTCTCTCTCTTTCTATCTGTCTCTTTCTCATAAATGTCTACAAACATATCTATTTCTTTCTCTCCGTCTGATAATCAGTTTTGTTATTTTGGCCTAAAGTTGAACTGGCTGTTTCTTCCTTATAATTAATAACATTGAGGCAAACAGGAAGGTCTAATTGTGATGAATATTTAATGCGAGGGAGAAACATTAGCCTGTTCAATTTACATCAACACAAAGACAACGACAGGCAATCCAACTCTACAAACAGAACAGAGTGTCCTTCACTGACTGGCTCTGCTGTGCTTTGCTTTAAGCGCTTCACAAAGATCTGCTTCAGACAAACACAGAGATGAGGCACCTGTACTTTAACCAAAGGAGGATTTTTTAAATGGGTTTATGTAGTAGCTCAGTCTTTCTGATTAGATGGCTCTCTGTCCTTAGTGGTATTATCAGAAGCATGCTCATTAGCATATCAATTCCTATCATGTTTGGTATAATTTGTGTAAGTAAACACATCCGTTTGCGTGAGTCTTAGTTTAAGCTGGATGATTATAAAACTCCAGTCCATTTCCTGAAAGCAGCTGTGGTCTGAGTCTCTTAAAAACAGCATGAAGTCATACCCCTAGTAAGCACTGTGAACAACAGTCAGTCCAGTCCCAACAAAGCTACAGCCAAATACAGTTCACCTTCTGCCCACTCCATGCTATATCAGTCAAGTGATTTATATGTTTGGATTGCTATTGGATAATGGGCTTGAGAGCTGGACATATTCGGCATTCCCACTCCAAAATAGCTTGTGAAAGCAGGCCAGAGTGAGGCACTTTTGGAACGTTAAATAATTCTGTAATCACGCTTTCAAGTAAGTCAGTTCGTGTTCTTGTGAAATTACATTTATTAAAAATAAACATGTGAGTGGAAGCCTGGGGCTAGATGAAGAAGACAGCATGCTGCTAGCTGTGTTTCATGGCCCTGCGGTGCCAAGCAGGCCATATTTCTCCGCCGTATTATCAGGATGACTCCTGCTGGCCACCCTGTCACAGGAGAGTGCTTGATATAAACAAGAGATTGCTGCGACACCCAGTAATCAATATTAGGACGGTTTCAGTACCAAACATCATTTGTCTCTGCGACCATTCCTTTGACCAAACGAAGCATTAATTCAAATCATAAATCTGAGCTGATTTAAATCCAAAGAGAGAGAGGCCCCTGTCTGACTGCCTGCCCCTAATGATTTATTTTCTACATTTCTGCGAGCGAGAGATTTGTCCATACTCACTGACAGGTCACCTTCAAACGCCAGTGGCAGACTGTTCATCACCATGCAGACGAGCATCTCATCGCTGCGAGTAAATATTAAAGGAAAAGAATCCAATTGATTGTGGATGGGGCCGAGAGGCGTCACTGCCATATATTTCACTCAGAGAGCTAATGCTGTGGCCCATGCACCCACACCTAGAGCTGCTCCCCCTTGCCAGAATTATGATTCTACCGGGAGCCTGTGTGGCTGGCAGTGGGCTCAAGGTTACAATTTAAATTGTAAAAAGATAAAACAGTTTCTTATTAGCTCCATTGCCATAGCCTTGCTGTTGGTACTCACATTTATCTTTATTTCCATGACCTCGTAGGCTCGTATTCTTTTTTTTTTTTTTTTTACATACTCCATTCTTTTGGAGTGATGACCTCACACTTTATGCATTTTGCATTGTTAAATCTGCTTAGAAACACATCCTGTTTTCATCTCGCACACCATAAGCTCCATGGTGTCAAGTATTACTGATGAAATGTATGCAGGAGTCAAGCCATTTATTACAGTAAGTGAATCAAAACCTCCATTTAGCAACTAAAGCTACAGGGATTACATTTGGTTTATAATTTGGAATGGGCTCATGAATCCGCACCAACATACATTATCACTCTCTTTAATACACTTAAGTGGTTCTGTGTGATATTACAAAAAATCCTTCTGCATTTTAGGGCTAATAATTAATTGAAATGGCACATAGTGAAAACGCAATGCTCTCCCAGCAATTCAATTAGACCTTGTTAAAAGCTGATAGCTTTAGGAAACTGTTTCACTTAGCTATGTAGAATGTTTTTCTTTCAACACAAAAGTCTAACACGTGAAGAGAAAACAAGACTTACCTCACTAAGGTGGATATTAACAGTCTATACAAAATGAATATAAAAAAACATTTCACCATTTTATTAAGAAACAAGTAGTATAGTGTCATGCATGCATTTGATTGAAATCAAGCTATGTATATAGGAGTATATGTGACCTCTGGCAATTTTTTTTGTCTCAAAAAACTAACATTTCCATCAGCCTTAGCAGTACTTTTTGTTTAGTTCTCATTAGTAAAATTTTAAAATTTTAGGTCCTGTATACACAGTCTGTTATTTACTGAAATTAGCACCTGCCACCCACCAAATAACCGCGCGTAAATTGTTGGCAGTGGCAGGTAAAATCGTCAGGTCAACCGCCACTTTAACAGACAAAACAGAAAGACACATTTAGTAAGGAAATTCAAACAAAAATGGCGCTCATCTACTCACCAGTGGATGAGGCAAAATCCTAAGAGTGACAGCCAGTTAGCTAGCCAGCAGCACACTGGCCGGACTACGATAGGCAACTAACGGTGTTGTCGTAGAATCACTAAGATTGTGTAATTGTAATTGAACTCAAACTGAGTATTTTTTGTTTGCTTGCTGGGATCCCGAAGAGGAGGTTTTTGTTGAGATATGGACTCTTGTGGAGATTTCAACTGGAGATAAGTACTATCTTTGTTTTCTAGTGAACAATGGCTGTAATACACTGTGGTAAACTTATTTTTTTTGTGATTCTTTGCAAAAGTGTGACCATGTGCCAATTTATAAAACACTTCACATTTTGCCTCATAACTGAACAATTGTATATATATATATATATAGGGGATCCTTAATTCTAGACACATTTACACGCCACACCCATTTCAGCCATAATAGATCGCCCCCATTTAAACTTTTTGGGAAAAGCAGCTAGTCCCAGAAGTTTCAACAACCCGCCAAAGTTGGAACATTATACATTTGCATGAGCCCTGAAAAAATACTTTTTGTGATAGGCTTGACCATTTTCTAATCATCAACAGCCTAATTAACAAAAACTGCCTTAACACAACTATTTAGTTGAAAGGCACACATATTTACTCCTAATGATCCAGCAAAATTTGAAACTTTTCAGCCTATAGGTGACGCTAACAAACAATTTCTTAAAATATCATGCTAATCAGTCCTTCTGCATTAATTTAAATCAATATGTGCATTTTGATGCAGATTTATATCTAGACATTTTCTTTTCTTTTATTAAAATAGCTTGTGTACAGGGACATGAAATAGTTTACAGCATTTGTCTTCCGTTCATGTGTGTGAAGGGCATCCTCACCGACGCTGGAGCTGAGGTCTCCATTCTCTCCATCGGCCCCATGGTGGTTGGCGTTGCTGTGGTAGCTGCTCATCGCCTCTAGCTTGATCTTCTTGACCTTCATGGCCTCTGCGATGGCTGCGTTGGCAGCTGCTGCCGCTGCTGCTGTCAGGCCTGGAGAGAGGAGGCAGAGGAGACAGAGCGCTTACAGAACGCAACATGTCTGCTGGGGCTTAGCCACGGCACCTGCAAAACCTTTCAGAAACCTGCCCTGGCAAATAAAAAAAAACAAAGAAAAAGGACTTTTGAAATAATAAAACAATGAATAATTTTATACACTACGGGGAATAAGATCACAGCTTGGTTTTTCATCTTCTGACAGGGGATATCTTCACAGCAGGTTATCATGCTGATGGGAATGGTGTGTGTGGCAGCATATGATTTTTATGAATGTTTCACCGACACCGGTATTCCTTGCCACTAGATTGATGTATTTGTATCTTGATGGGAACAGATGTAGTCAAGATAATAGTGCATGATGCAAGCATTTTGTGTGTACAACTTATAATACACTAAGTATGTGTATATATAATAGAGGCATAGTGATACAGTGTGACAAGGGAGGTATCAGGGAGAGAAAAAGTGAGACAGACTCAATATGTGAACAAATACAGAGAAAGAACTGTGTCTTAAAAATCTTCTTATTGAGGGTATTTCAATGATGCCTTCTAATGCATTCAACAGATCTAATCGCCCTGAATAATTCCTAACATTGGTATTCAAATTCTTCACGGCTATATACCGTAGTGTCTCATAATAACAGGGCTCTTCTGAGAGTCAAGGCTGTTCATCAAGCAGAATGGAAAACTATAAACCATGTACCAAGGATTCAATTTTTGTTTCATTCTTTAACACTTGCAAATGGCTTTGAGTATATTCAATGCTCGGAGGGCCATGTGTAAAAATTAAATAAATAATACGCTCCATAAAAAATGTGTAGGAATGTAAGCAATTCAATATCATCTCTATCACATTCTCAAAAAAAAAAAAACACACTCAGGACATTTGAGGCAGAAAATGAATAAGGCAACAGGCAAAAATACCCTATTTACCATATTGGCAACAGAAACACAAGGATAGATTATAACATAATGTGGACAGGTTTTTTTTAGGTTTGTTTTATCATTATTATCATACAAGACAAGTTTTCTTTAACTGCACATAAAACATGCCAGTTTTTTAATGTACAGAAAAAGACTACAGAAATATTAAAAGTAAATATTTGCACCCTGATAGTCTTGCCTGCACAGATGATCATACTGTTTTATGCTAGCCCCAGTCTCATAATACAGCAGTTATAATACAGTCTTTAGTATGCAGATCACTTGAAAAATTCTGACAACATGCCAAATATCTTTGAGAATTTTACATGGATTCTCCTCAGGCCCGAGGCTGCTATTTTCATGAGCATCACATTTTAAATGATCATTCACATTTCAAATGTCATCTCTGAAAATTTACCGGAATAGCAATATTTTACATGGATCAAAATGGACTTGATATGATTGATATAGTAAGTCTGGCATAATAGACATACATATGTTGAGCACACTGCAGAGATCATAAAGCATTGGTTTGTCATTGTGGTATTTCCAGGGTTCTGGTGTATTAAACGTGACTGAAATCTTTATTCATGAGGCTGGTCTCAAACAGCAGGGAGAGATAGCGCTAAAGCTCCTCTAGGTCTGGCGTGTCTCAGGAGAGTCCTACGACTCCTCTTGCCAAGCCCAGAAACAAAATCAAAGATGCACAGTGAGGAAAAGATATGTACCTATTAGTGGAATCACTCATATCAACAATACAGTATATCACCTGCCCTTTTACAGCCGCTGCTTATACTGGATATGCAGGTATGCCTTATGTTTGACGCACAACAAGGCAACGTCTGCGTTTATCATCACTAAGCTGTCACGTCTCCGTGATGGGACTCAAGAGCAGCTATTAGCCATGCATCTGAGGGGAGACACAAGTACAAGGAGAGGTAGAAATCGAACATGTGGCTCTAATAGATACACACGAGCATGCGCACACTCAGACACAAACACACACTGACAAACACGCACACAAGAACATACCGGCCTGGGCACCCTCTCCTCTCATCCCCAGCTGATAGGCAGATGGTGAGAGTCACTCTGAGCCACTGACATGGAGGTGCATATAATTTAAAGCCTTGTTTGCATCTTAAAATACATCAGTACCATATTGACGTACAGTATACATCATGTCAGCGAGGGCCCTCTCGTTTGCAATGGGCCCTGGTTGCTGTTCAATATGCATAGGCAGAGCAGGGGGAAAAAAGCCATTGCCTCATAAGAAGGTGATACTTCTCCACATAATGAATGTGGCCTCTGCCCAGTCTGAAGGTCAGCCTTCATTTGTGTATAATGGGCAAGAGTCAACTGTTTTCCAAATGAGACGTATGCAGAACAGACTGCCGAGTAAATATTGAAATCACCTCTGGGCTGTTTGTGTGATAAATTCCCCCCACAAATCAGGTGCCGCTCAGAGCGGTGCCGCAGTGGTGCTTTCTGATGCTCTCTAACTTTGGCTGTGAGAACACTGTGGTTTATTGCACCGCAGCCTGTGCGTCCTCACCATTACTTTTTCTATAGTATTTTAAGAAAAAAAATGGGGCATGGGGGTCCATCCATGAAGAAGGAAGTGACATGTTTTGATCAAATGTGTATCAAGTAAATAAAGACTAAGACATTGATTTGTACTACTGTAAAACAGATCAAATGATTACTTTTCCATTTTCCATTTATCATTCTGCTCCAACCTCCACCCTGTCAATGACTAAGTGACACACTCATAGATCAAAGTTTTTGTTCTGATAACTGTTTCATTTCACCAGATCAATTGTCATATCCACATAACACACACCTCTATACAGTGGATGTAATAAGGAAGCCAGGGAGATGTTGCCGCCCAGCAACAAGTCTATTAAGCCACTAGAAGTCTAAACGTCAACAAGACCAATCCCACTCAGTGCTAATCTGCATTCATTACTATGCAAACAAAACAATCCTGCCTCATATATTCTTTCAAAGTCACCTTTAGATTCAGACACTTCTCTCATATAGATGCCCAGGCAAGTCAGAATCCTCCTGAGCACAAAACAAACAGCGCATCACAGCCGCATGTAGAGAGCCACACCAGTCGGAGAACAGGAAAGGGAACATTTCAACAAATAGAGAATAGCATGGCACTGTCACATGGGGAGCACAAAACAGCAAATAACAGAGACAAGGTCTGATGGTAGCCCTTGGAGCAGCTGTCATATTAAATAATAATGAAGGATCTATTAATATGCAAAGGAAGCAGCAGCCGACTGGCTTAACGCTGTCATGCCTCTGCATATTGTCAGGATCTTCATCATTAATTAACATGCTAGCTGCCCCATACCTGCGCCAATGTCAGAACATTCTTACAACAAACACCCCAATGCCTGTGCCCTCCGCAACTAACTTGTATAATTAAATTAAAATCAGATTAACTTCACATCAGTACACAAAAGACTGACTTTTACGACTTTCTCTAGCAGTGATTAAAAAAAAAAGAAAGAAAATAACCTGAGCTTATCTGTTGTGTTTCTGTTCTGTCTCTGTTAGGGACTGCACCATGGGCAACAATAAAAACACTCTTTATTTATCGGGCAAGCAGGATAAGTAGGGAAGAGACACTCCATGTCAATGAGCATGGCCGCCTAATTTTATGCATGGACTGGTGGCAGCACAGCAATGACAAACTGGGGTTGGGAACAATGCGACTCTTAGGTACACTGCACCACTTGAACTGGGCTATCCACATCATGACAAATTTAGTATCAATTACACAGCGTGCTAACCTTATGACAAGCAGCGGACTGAAAGAGGAGGGGTAGAGACAAAGAACTGACACTAAATTACCTGGTGCATACTGGATCTATTTTAAAGCAGCTTGAAGTGGCACCGGATTAGATGATCCACTCTAGAAGATGACGTGCTAATTGTACATCAAAGGAACATAAATATTATATATGTCTCCACCTACAGCAGTCTTATGAACCAGCTCTCCCAGGCACTGGAATCCACACACATACTTACAGTAAGGCAGAGCCAGACAGCATTAGAACATATTGTTTTTATCAGTAAAGTACAGGATGCAATCTGGTTAGATGTAGGTGACATTCATTTCTCTAATGGTAAATGCAGTACTCCTGCGTTATTCAAAAGGTTGAAGCCATATCCAGGACATAAATGAATTATATTGAAGCTGCTGCTTAAGTAGTGGCCAGAGTGTGAGTGGAGGCCCCCTTCACTTTAAAGGAGATGTCATCTCAGTGTGGTGTCAGTCCACAGCAAATAATCCGATTTGGGGGCCAATCTGCCTGTAATGCATCAGCGACTGGAAAGGCTCCAGCGCAACCCCACCCCCGGGGGCATGAACGCAAGCATGCACGCCTTCAGACACTCACGCCTACACACATGTGGTTTCACACACATATGAGGGTATTTCCTTAAATGGAAAACTAAGCATATTAAGATGTCCTTTTCTTAATGGAACTGGTGTCAAGGGCAAAGATACATATGTTAACAATGTGTTTCACATAGGCCTCTCTGGTCCTGTTAGAGTGTGAAGAAGACATCTTTCCACTGTGATGAATTTGGTCACTGATTTTAAGCTAATATGATTTAAGTCTAATGTCTAAAATCTAAAAAAAAATAAACATTGGCGGATTACATTTTGTATGAAGAAAAGAAAAAGAATCCCAAAACAGAGTAAACTGAGAGAGGAATGCAGAATTAGTTTTGTTATGTCAAGCCTTTATGACTACAAGATTAGATCACTGAAAAACTTCCTGTATCTGTCATAAAGTGAAACCTTTTGCCAAATTTGAGCTACAGTCGGCCTCTCCTGAGTGATAAGGAGCTTGGGAGGAGGCACCAGCATTATACATTTTCACACGTAACACCAGAAGAGAAATGACGTGCTACAGTGATAAAAACAGCAACAAAAAAAACATTTCACCGAGTGTTTCGCTCCTCCTCTGCAGCCCACATTTAATGGCACAGTGGCTTTTTCGTGGAGTCTTGGGAGTATTGGTGAAGCCTCAGGAAAAAGCCGTTGGCACACATCCTGTCTGTGTATACGGGCGTTAACTCATCTGCAAAATGAACTAAATGTGACATGACATGATGGTGTAACTATTTAAGACAGTTTCTCAATGTCGTTTTTTTAATCATCAATCAGTATATTTGGACATGACAGGGAGATCAATTAGTCGCCTACTCAGATGCTAACTTATGTGTGGTCAATTATACTTAATTATTAATCTGTCAAAATCTGTAACTTCCTTGACGTTTAATGCTTAATACTATAATCAGAACAATAAATGGTTTAATCATAACACAGAAATTGATAGAAAAGTTCTGCCTCTTCACAGTTAGGAAGCTTAAGGCAGTTATGAGAAGACCAAAAACCTCAATTACTTTATCTCTGCCCCCTGAATACCCTGACTAAATGTCAAGATCATAGAGTCCCTCTGGGCTTAAAGGGGATGATATCAAAAGGCTTTTCTGTTGCTTTATGTTCCACTAAATAACACGGGTCTTTCTCATCATTGTCCTTCCCTGCGTTCACTTCGGCCTTTTAGTTCGCCTTCCATACTGCAGCACAGATAGCCAGTGACCTCACCCTATTCCCAGAGTTCAAAGCACTAGCCTGTGAGCATCCATTGTACTGAGTCACAAGGATGGCCCAATCTGTGTTTAATATTGAACTTCAAACATCTCACAGACACTGCATTGCTGCCTCTTGGAGAAAGAGGGGAAAAAAAACACTTCCAGACTGTTTTTGCAGAAGTGGAAAAATGTGTACGGTAGGATAATTACAAGTCTGTTAACAGTAGTTACACACGAAAGATTACCATGGAAAACCAGCTGTGGTGTTTTATCTCTTTGCAAAGTACTACAGTTAATAGTTGGTTAAATACAATGTGTACTGTACACTGAATGAGCATTCAAAGAGCTCAGTTAGACGGTACAATATCATTAAAGACATATCAAGAAGGAGAGCAAAATATGCAAATCAGGGCACTTACAGCCACTAACATCAAAGCAGTCACAATGAAGCCAGCCACAAATAGAACAAAAGCATTAGTTGCAATAAGACTTGGCCCAGGGGTAAGTTAGGGCACAAACGGTTGTTGTTGATTCTTGTGGCGATAAGCTTGCTTTAGCATCACCACCGCCTATGTACATATACCAGTGGAGTGGATTTAATCGCACTAATTAGAATGCACTCAAGGCAAAATGCAACATCTACTGGAATAATCTGAGAGAAAAGATCTCCACTCCAATTTATTCTCCCCCTCTTGGTTTCCGGGGATTGAGCAGACGATCTGTTTTTGGTAAACGAGTGAGCGGCTGGTGTCTGGTGGTTGGGTGCATGTGTCACATTGGACTGGTTGCCATTTCGAGGACAAGCTGCAGGGAGGCCACTGGTAGGGCCGTTGTTTATGTGTGTATATGAGTGTGTGTGACAGAAAGAACGAGAGAGATTCAGAAATATAAAAGACCCAAACAGTGAATAAGAGGCTTAGCAAAAACGACAGAGCGCTACAGATTAAGACCAAACCATACCTGTGGGTGGGATCATGCCAGGGGACATGAGGCCAGGGACTGAGTGGGGCATGATGTGGGGGTTCTCTGGTGATGTCACACTCTGGGTCCTCTTCGGAGGCCGGCCAGGTCTGGAGCTAAAACATGAGGCAGAGAAGGAGGAGAGCGTGGTTGAGAGACGAGGAGGAGACTGGCAGAGGGAGGAGGGGCTGTGGGGGCGGCGGCGGCGGGGGGGTGTTAACATTTGGAGCACTCCAGAATGCAATTCCATTCCAAATAGCTAACATGTACTGTAAATAAATTTCTTTTCAAGGACAGTTGCTTTCTGCAGCTCAACATAATAGACTTCCATAACTAATTAGATTACACGGTGAATTCATTTCCTTTATTGAAGATCAACCACTTTTTGATGCATAATTCATAACCCGTACCTCGTTACCTGTTCCTCCGTATTAATATCCCCACACTATTTGAATTGCCTCGTTTGCATATGCTAAAATCCAGTGCGCGGGCCTCGGCCTGGAAATTACATGTTAACTTGTTATAATTATTGCAGTCAGGCCACTATTGATTTATGAGACTTTTAAAAACCAAATATGTGTAGTTCTGGTAATGAATGATATTTTAAGGTTCTTCAGGAAATTAAAAGGCAATGGCTGCCTTAGGAAATGTTCTGCTTGCTTGATTTAATGCGTGCCTTAGCTGGAAGGTGGTATGACAGAGTGATTCAGACCTGTTGGACGGTTCTGATGGGGGAGTTTTATTACACCAAACGAGGGGCACAGATCCAGCCGTGATAAATGACTGTGCCACCTTACTGTGGAGGAGAAAAAGGCCTTCAAAGCAGATACACCGCTGACTTTCCACACATCTTACTCATTCACTTATTAATACAGCTTCGAGTTGCAATCAATACCTACTTTTCTGGCTTATAGTAACAAAGAAAAGCCTACAGGGTGAAAAAAAATGCAATGACCATATAATGAGGGGGCCAACATCCTATGGAGGTATATTCTCTATGAACAAGTAGCTGGATGTCTCAGCTGAAGATGAATTATGGTGACTTGACACAGGTGACATATTGGCTTCATACATTATTTCACATTCAATAGTCCATTTTCAAGCTTTACCAGGATACTAAGTTCTCTCTAATATGAACTGAGATTAATCCATCTTTAAAACACCAAAGGGTTTCCGTAGCGTGACGTAACTAAGGGAAGAAACTTTGACAAACAGGAGTAAATCTCACAAAGAAAGGACAGGACCGGAAATCAAACCCGGGGTATATTGGTTGAGCTTCTGTCCTGCCCTTTTTAAAAGACCGCATTGAAGTTGATTTTAATTCTGTTAATAAGGTTTGAATAGGTGTGCCAACATGCTTATACAGTAATAGCACTGTCATGTTTCTTGTAAAATGTAATTTCTTTGATCTAATCCCGAGCAAATTCTCTCCACAAATATACCTTGATAGGTACCACAACTGATGAGCTGCTCTGAGTTTTCTTTTCAACAACGATGGCTCACTCTGGACTTTATTAACCAGTTACAGTATACAGTATACCGAGCTGTTTGTGTTACAGTACATTTCACTACATTTCCCAAAGGCAGTATCTACACAGTGATGCAGTGTTTTAGCTCCGATACCACACAGCCCTAGTAGTTGAATTTATTCAGCCGTGTCTTGTGAAGTTTATTTACCTCAGTCCTGCTAATAGAGTGCACTCGCTCTATCTGTCTGAATGTGCTGACTCCCTCATATGCCAGCTCTTGAGGTTTTAGGACTAAAAGCAGACCTTCACCCAACTGTGTCCCTTTGGTGAGAAAATATAGTGATAGAAAGAAGCAGCATGAGGAGGAGTGAATGACAGAAAGTGAGAGAGAGCAAAAGAGAGGGACAGAAAGAGAAATGAGTGCCCGCTCAACCTAGGAACGTCTGGAAATGTAATTCCTATTTCTATAGAAGCACCTCTTTGATCTTATGAGAGGGAGAGATCGCACACAGTTTTGCTGTCATCACTTTCACTTGTACTCTGGCTGAATTATTTATGAAAGACCTCAATAGAGGGTATGTGATGGGTAAAAGGCTTTTTTTTACCAACAATACTAAAAGCAAAAAGGCCCTCAAATGGACAAAAACCGTCACATCAACCTTAGATCATGTCAAAGGATGTGAACCCAGGTACAAAGACCCAGTTAAGTAAAGGTAATGTTTAGATAGGCTTTGAGAGAATCTGTCTGTGTGTTTAAAGGGGTAACATTTCAGCTACTCTCTGCACACAAATAGCACTGGCTAACCATGAAAGGAATACACCAACTGAAAAGGAGCTTTGAACTGACGAACCTTCAAGCAACAGGAAAGCCTCTCAGAAGTTAAGGTTATCATCTCCTTCTCTTATGACTGAGTAGGTGTGTAAATGTACAGAAACGGCATCCACTTCATTACAGAGGGTGTGTCAAGACAATTTTCCTCTTTTATTCAATGCTTTTCACGGCCTTGTGATTCACACAGCTTGGTGTAATCTTTCTTAGCGATACGTAATCGAGTTCCTTGAAACGTCACAGCTAAGGCATGCATGCTAACATCACTGCAGATCTGCTATGGTCAGAGCCATCCAGGCTAATAAGCTGGGTCCAGAGAGGAACCCAACCTGGCCTCAAACAAAAGAGCCAGGCTATTTATCAAGCAGCAGATGCTGATTCCCTAAATAGCCTGGCATAGAAACTGCTCCAAACTAGGCCATTATTGCAAAAAAAAAAGAAAAAAAAGATAGCACAACTGGATTTATGATTGGAATTTAGGTACTTCTCATGTCTTTTCAGCTGTTTTCTCTTCTAATCTTTCTTGCCTTCATTTCACTTTCTCTCTACTTTAAAATGTTTCAGAAAATAAGAACCTCTGGGTTTAAAATTGGACTTATTCGGACAATATTATTTCTGTATTGGAGGTTAATCATGAAAGAACTTTGCTTCATTTATATTTATACTAAAGATATTCAGGGCCCTCATATCTCTGGATTCAATTAAGGAAACAAAATAGGCCCCACCAGCATAGGGCTGGGGCCACAAATATGTTACACATCTATTCTTTCTTTTTTTGTTTCACTGCTATGGTGAAAAGAAAACAGTGGTGAACTTTCCCTGAACCAGACTTCCTTTAATGGCCCAGCCGTGTGTTGACCCAGCAGAGTCGACTGGAACCTGATACTATCCAACACACTACGCTGCGCGGGCAATCAGATTACATGGGGCCCAACAATACACTCCACACGAGTCCAATTTCAGCGCTACAATGCAATAAAAGCACAATAATTAAATTCGCGTTCTCACCCCGTTTACAGGAAGCCAACACAAGGTGATAGGCATAATAAGAGGTATAATATCACATGAGATATCAGGACGGTTTTTGATCTCATGGCAAAATTCTGACATCTCACTATCAGACTCTTTTCTGTCGACGGAAGCAGTGACTGAGATCTTATTACCCAGAACGCCGTTAATGCAGTGATTATGATCTGTTATAAATCAATTGAAACCACAAATGTAATGTTTAGCCCAAGTGAGCACACTCCCTTAGTGGATTTAGTTACACACAAAAATCATCTGCTCCTCCCATCTTCGGATATCTTTAGGAATTCAACCTGATTATGTCAATAGTGACTCCAGTTTGCAGAGAAAGAGCATATTATTATTTCCTGGTGGTTATGATTGAGCCATTAACCTTTTATCTCAGTCTTTTGTTTGACGTTTCTCAAAGGTAAGGATGAAGATATTTATTCCATTTCCGCCCAGTCGGCCAAAACAAGCGAGTGAATCATTCCGTCTGGGGCTTGTGTAAACAAAAGGCCTCTCCAGGTCTCTGCCAATCAGGCCTTATAAAATATTAACCCAATGTCATTGCCCTTTTAAAATCTCTCACCTAGAATTCCCTAATTGTTCCTTTTCTTTATCTCTCCAGTGCAGAGAGTAAATAAATTAACAAAATAGCTTTTATCGCCCTGAGTAACCTTTTAACTGAAGGATTATCTGGGGTTTATTTTTCATTTCTCTCACAGCGATAGCAGAGCATGCCCCATTGATTGGTTTGCTGGGGTGGTGACCAGCCATGAAAACAAGGTCTTATTGATAAAACAAAGCAGCTCCTTACCTTTTAAGTGCCAGGTCAGGCAGAAATTCAGAGGCCTCAGACCATCAGGGGCCTGAATATGCTGAGTTTATAGTTTTTTATTTTTTATTTGGTTCAATCAAACAGTTTAACAATATGCGCGTAACTCCCTTAAGAGGTTAACTCTGTCTGTTGAAAGACAAGGGTAACGTGGCTATGGTGTATTACTACCAATTTAAATTCCCCACAGATAAGATAACAGGGTTGGTTGAGGCGAAAAGACGAAATGTTTCATTTTAATTCTAGAAATGAGGTATTTTAGAAAAAAGCTTTTCTGTTTGTTTCCTCCACTTTGAAGAAAAAGCTGCCTTGTGGCAATAAAAGGAAGACTGACATACAAGTATAAAAATTCCATTCTGCTGCAGTTAAGAGTCGAAACGAACGCCGATTTCCCACTGTGGATTTGTGGTGATAACACACTGTATATGTCTAATTAATTGTCTGCTGATTTGAATTTGATCTCAGTTCTCTGGTTCCCACCTTTATCAGCCGCCATTAGCCCTTATATGGAGAACACAATAATGTCAGCACAGAAGCACAGATAACTTCCCTGCCTATGCAAACTAACAGATGAGGAACCAAGAGGTATTTTATAACAGTCACCATCTACGTGTTTCCCTTCAAAGAGGACATCTTTTTTCAAACTTTAAACATTCAACGTTAAACATTACTTTAAAACTAATCAACAACTATTTGATAATTGATTCATCATTTAGGTCATTTCTCTAGCAAAATGTCAAGCATTCTCTGGTTTTAGACTCCTAAATATGTGGATTTGCTGCTTTTCCTGTTTTTGTATGAATGTAATCCAAATATCTTTTTGGGGGGTCATGTGCGGATCTTGGGCTTTAGGAAATTAAAGTTAATAAAAAAATAACAGTAATTTTTCACTTTTTCTGACATAAAATATTAGAAAAAGTGAAAAGACCAAACAATTAATAAATTATTTTTTTACTTGATTACTTGATAGCTAGA